CTGTCCTGTTATTTGACATCAAACCTCAAAACATAGTTTACTTTGTGGGGTGGGCATCCATTACTCAGGGCATATTATTTTTGGTTTTTTTTCCCAAACAAGTTTTTTTTTTAATTAAAATAGATTTTTTTTTACAATATATTCTGATTATAGTCTCCCCTCTAACTCTTCCCAGTTTTTACCTCTCTCCCTCCCATCCAGAGCCATACCTTTCTGTCTCTCCTTAGAAAACAAATAGGATTCTAAGAGATACTATGAAGATGATTTAAAGAGGGGAGACAAACTATTCAAAAGCAAAATGTTGTCCTTTTTAAGTTTTATTTTGTATTATGTGTGTCTTAGGGTTTCATTTTTGTGAAGAGACACCATGATCACAACAATTCTTATATAGAAAATCATTTAATTGGGTGGTTTACAGTTCAGAGGTTCAGTCCATTATCATCATGGTGGGACACACCAGCTTGCAGGCAGACATGGTGGTGGAGAGGTAGCTGAGAGTTCTACATCTTGCAAAGACAACAGGAAATGAACTGTCTCACTGGGTATGGCTTGAGCATATATGAGACCTCAAAGTCTGCCTCCAGAGTGACACACTTCCTCCAACAAGACCACACCTATTCCAACAAAGGCACACCTCCTAATAGTGTTACTCCCTTTGGGGGCCATTTTCTTTCAAACCGCCACAATGTGTATGAGTCTTTTGCCTACATACATGCATGTGGACCATGGGTGTATCTGGTGCTCACAGAAGTCAGAAGAGGGTATCTGTTCCCCTGAAACTGGAGTGGCAGATGGTTGTGAGCCACCAAGTGATTTCTGGGAACTGAACTCAGGTCCTCTGCAAGAACAATAAATGTGATTAACCGCTGAGCCATTGCTTCAGCTCCGCATGCCTTTTGTCCCCAAACTCATTATGTAGGCTCAGTCTTTGAGTTATGTGTATACATCGAAGCTGGAGGGCTTTTCAGTGGCTAAGGAGGGGAAATTCTGATGGCTATGATAAAACAAGAAAAGATGACTCCAATGGGACATTCTGAAGAGGCCCCTGTGTGGAGACCCAAATTACTCAAGGTTAGAGAATATGAGCTTGCTTTACCCAGCCAGATTGCATAAGGGGATGATTTGACCACAGGCGGGGTTACCAGGTGTTTGGAAGGGTCTGCACTTGGCTGCATCTAGCAAGGGGGAGGTCTTTTGCCTTGTCCCTTGGCATTGCTATTATAAAAAGTCTTTTTGAATAAAGTTCTGAGCTGGTGGATTTTGACCCAGGCCCTCTGAAGCTATCCTGTGTTTCTGTCTTTCTTCTCGTCTGCTAGGTTTCTCTTTTTACCTCATATTTTCTTATCCCTCTCTCCTCAAGAGTACCCAGGGTAAAGTGGGGGCAGGTCCCCCACATCCGTTAATGGAATTTCTTAGACACGGATCAAAGCTTTACTTACAATGTAGATAGTGGAGTTGGAAGGGTCTGGGCTCAAATCCAGGTGTTCTGTTCTTAAGCCCCATGTCTTGGGACACATTTCTTAACTCTGTTGCGTTAGCTTCCTCTTGCCCAAAACACAGGATCATAAGTGAGGCTCTGGCTATGTTAGTGGTCCAAGTTCTTAGGGACCTCTCAGCTTAGTAGAGAAAGGAGGAAAGTAAGGACATGTTTTAATTTAAGCCTCTACTTGGCACCTTTGATGATTCCTTTTCATTGTTAAATTGACTGGCAGGATAGATGTAGGATCACCGTGGAAACACACTTGTGGGTGTGTCTATGAGGGTGTTCCCAGAAAGGTTTAACTGAGGAGAAGACACACTCTGAATCCTATGGGCTGGATTTCTGAATGGGTCTGAATACATGGAGAAATAAATGAGTACTGAGTAACAGTATTCACCTCTCTCTCCTTCCTGACTGGATAAAATATGACTACCTGCTTCATGCTTCTATCCTTGCCACAATGGACTGAGTCTTTCCTTAATCCCTGAGACAAAATAAATATTTTCCCCCTTAAGTTGCTTTTGTCAAGTGACCAATGAGAAAAACATATTAATATAGTGTCATCGACAGGGGTTAAGAGCTGGTCCTATGGGACCCCGGAGGGCGGGCAGCTGCCCCAGTCTCAGGACAGAGGAGAAGCTATGGAGAGTTTTCAGGATGAAGACTTCTGTGATGAATCCTGAAAGATGAGCAGATGTAGTGGGTAGCCATTCCAGCTTGGATCTGGAAGTTCCAACCCCCATTGAGACTCTGGCAACTGTCACGCCTACGAGGCGGGGCGAGGGGAGGCGCTGGAAACCCGAGAGCCGGATGGGCCAGCGCTCTCTCGGTGGTCGTGCTTGGTTCCTGGACCCTGGACGGTGGAGGTTGACTGAGCAGAGCTCCAGAGAGCACCGCTGGATTGCGATACACCTTCCCCAGACCCCCGCAACCTATCTATTCTTTCATTTGTAAGTCATCCACTAAATAAATCTTCCTTTTAACTACGTGGAGTGGCCTTTATAACTTTCCCCAATAAGCAGATGTTAGCTAGAAGAGAGAGGTGGTGAAGGTACGCAGGCAGAAGAATCATTATTTCAAGTTTCAGGGACAACAGCCAGGCTCAGGAAACTCAGAGTAGCTCAGAAAACAGAGTGATAGGTGTAGATTTGCCAGGGAGGCTAAGAGAAAGGGAAAAGAAGGAGCTAGACTGAAGACCACTCAGTTGATATAAAGTTAAATAAGGTAACATGTGGGATGCATATCTATTATCATTCCTTCTCCCTATACCCTTGTGCAACGAGAAAGACATTCTGTAGTTGGGAGCTGCTGTGGATATCGCTCTATATAAATAAAACACTGATGGCCAATGACCAGACAGGAAGTAAAGGCGGGACAAGGAGAGAGGAGAATTGGGGAAACAGGAAGAAGGGGGGAGACACTGCAGCCACCGCCAGGACAAGCAACATGTAAAGACGCCAGTAAGCCACAAGCGATGTGGCAAGGTATAGATTTATAGAAATGGGTTAATTTAAGAGATAAGAACAGTTAGCAAGAAGCCTGCCACGGCCGTACAGTTTATAAGTAATATAAGCGTCTGAGTGATTATTTTATATGTGGATTGTGGGACTGTGGGGCTTGGTGGGACCTGGAGAGAAGCCCTCTAGCAACAGGGAGCTCTTTACAGTGAAGGATGCTTCTTTTTTCTTTTTTTGAGACAGGATCTCTCTATGTAGTCTTTGCTGGCCTGGAACTCACTCTGTAGACCAGGCTGACCTTAAACCCATAGAGATCTGTTTGCCTCTGCCCCTGAGTGCTGGGATTAAAGACATGTACAACTACCCTCTTGCAAGTGAAGGATTCTTTTTTGCTTGTTTTTTTGAGTCAGAGTTGTTCTGTGCAGCCCTGGCTGTCCTGGAACTCACTCTGTAGACCAGGCTGACCTTGAACTCAGAGCTCCACCTGCTTTTGCCTCTAGAGTGCTGGGATTAAAGATGTGCACCACTGATGCTGGCTAAGCAAAGGATTCTTGAACAAAGACAGTTACTTGCTCCCCAAGGGACAGAGGACCAGTGTTAGTTGTCTGTGTTTCTGTGTGGAGGGAAGCCTTGTTCCGGATGTTTTCAGAATGCCTCCTTTCCAGCAGCCTCCCTTTGTTACCATTTTCCTGTCCTTTCCAGGCTTTGTCAAAAGTGTGTTTCTGTTGTGGATTTGCATAGTGATGCGTGGGTGTGTTGGGCAGGAGTAGGCGCTGATAACAGCTGAGATTACAGTAAATAAAGTGGATTGAAAGCAATCATTTGTAAAGAAAAATACTTGGCAAAAGTACTTGGCTGTCAGGTTTGATAAGGCTTGGGCAGGCAGGGAGCATGGAGGATTATGTCCTAAGCCTGTTGCTGATGGGCAAGAGTAACAGTAGGTGCTGGAGAAGGAAGAAGGGGAAGCGGGAAGGCTCTGTCCATTAGATCCTGCAATATCCTAACTGAGATGCACGGATGTGGAGTGAACTCTGAATATCTTCAGGGTCCCCATGTCTGCATGTGCGTGGGCCCACATCCTCTGGTTTGAGCAGCCACAGATCAAAAATGTTCAGAAAAAAACATGCATCTATGCTAAATATGTTCAGACCTATTTTTGATTATTGTTCTCCAAACAATACGGTATACCAATAATTTAAATGGTATTAACATTGTCTTTGGCTAGTGTGAAGAGTCTTGGCATGATTGGAAGAGGTAGGAATCCTTAGGTTGTGTGAGTTATGCCAAATTCAGAAGGACAATTCTCACATTTTCTTTCTATGTGGAATTCAGGTCAAGAGAAAAAAAGGCCAGGCCCAGGGAGATGGTTTGGTTTGTAAAACATGTGCTGCACAAGCGTGAGGGTCCTGGATTCAGTCTCCAGCACTCACGACAAACTGGACATAGTACCATGCAGCTGTAACACAATGCCACAGACTCGGTAGTTTATAAACGACAAAACTTGCTTTTCCAGTTCTGGACACTGGGAAGCTCAAGATCAAGACGCCAGCGTATTTGGCGTCTGGTGAGAGCTGGCCCTTTCCTGGTTTGCTGAGGGCCACTGTGGTGAATCTTCACCCAGGCAAGAGAGCTCGGGTTTCTTTTCCGTTTTTTTTCAAGGCATTGTAATTCTATTATGGGAGCCCTATTCTATTGATCTTACCAAAACTCAATTAGTTTCTGTCCTGCTTTCCGCTCTGTCGCTGTGATAAAATACTGACCAAACCAGTTTAGGGTTTTTCTGGCTTAGAACTCCACATCACAGTCCATCACAGAGTGAGAACCTGGAGGCAGAGAAAGAGACCATGGAGGAACACTGCTAGAAGTTCTGGGACTCACATCTCTCCTCCACCCGGAGACCGGTATGCCCCGTAGGGAGGCTGATCCTCCCACCTAAAAGCCACACAAGGAGCAGAGTCACAGCTGGCTACCCAGTGGCTATGCAGTGAGAGCTGAGGATTCTGGGACTGCTGGCTCCCAGGTAGCTGTATAGTTAAGCGGAGGTGCAGGAAAGGTAGGAGGGGGAGCCACCTCCATTACGTTGCAGCTATCTTTAGGGAAGACAATAATTATCGTGGTTTTGTGAGTGAAGCTGTAGAAAAGGAAGCATGTGGGAGATTAGAGGGACGCACTGGAGGAAGGAAAGCCATTTTGGTCCAAGAGGTTTTTACACGATCGAACTTCATAATTAGAAGAGAATGAAGGCGTTAGAGACATGGTTAAGAGGGGAACATCCTGGCAGGAAGAAATGCCTGACTAAGGTAGGGAAGCATGAAAAAGGATGTTTTCTATAAAAAGAGCATTTAGGTGGTGCGGTGCTGTGTATGCCTCGGAGGGGTTTGGATTCAATCCTAAACTCTCTGGGGAGCTAATGAAGAGTTTTTGTTGGGAGTGATGGGATCGCATTTAGACTTTAGATTGGAGGGAAACTGTTGATCATTTCGGCGATAGGATGCGTGGAAAACATTTGTTGAGCCTCTGAAAGGAGGCCGCTGCCTCGGAAGGCGCCTGGGTAGGTTGTTTGTAAAGGTGTTCTGGGCTGACAGCGTCAAAGGCAGCAGCCGCTGATTCCACTTTCTACTGAAAAATATATAGGGTGGTAGCTGACTATTTTTACCCTTTTAAAAGGGAGCAACGTGAGCTCCTCTAAGCGCATTTTAAACAAGTGCCTTGCAGTTCTGCGATGGTGGAATTACCACGCAGCTGAGCACCATTAGCTGCCATGGTGATCTTTGTAAACTTGGCGATTTTTACTCTTAATGATGCTTTAATATATTCATATAATGGACCACCTGTTGGAGAAAGGAAGTGTAGGGGGGCACAGATGTTTAAACGTAGCTGGTGAGGATATGTCGAGGCTCTGAAAATTCACTCTAACTAGGCCTCTATCCAGTTGGTGTGAGTGATCTGTCAAACCCAGAGCATTTCTGGTCAGAAAGAGGAAAATCAGGGTTGTTATACTTGCTTCCTCTTGCTTAAATGCAGTAAATTTTATCTACTTCACAGTGTGTGTTTGCAGAAAATCATTTGCAAATACTAGCTTGAAATCTCTCTTCTTGTTTATTAGAAATATAGCATTCAAATATTAAAGTAAGCCACTTATATTTTAGGTAAAATACAATTAATATTTTAATATAAAATATATGCACCCTGAGGTTTAGCCAATGAAGGTAGTTTTTGCCTAGGCTTACTGGATGAATGGCGGGTTGACTTGACACATATTTTGACATAAGTTCTGGGTTTAAATGGCATGTTATAAATGCTACTTTGGAATTTATTTCAACAACAAAAATACTTTTATGCATAAATAATATATACCTCATTAAATGGAAATAAGTTAAATTGTGCCTATGTAATATTTTAAGACATATTGATCTAAAGCAACATCTTTTGAGAGAAAATGATTATCATAGATTTAGTAAAATGTTGAAA